TAGTTAAGCTTAGAAGTTTTCATGCAGGCCCCTACATTTGTACCCTAAAGTTCAAAGTGGGGATCCAGCCTTGACAAATGGGTGTTGGGCAACAGGCAGGATTAGAGAAGTTCTATTACCAGAACTTTGTGTTTGAACTTTCTGAAAAAGCAGAGTCAAGTCACCCTGAACAACCTTAACTCAGCCCAATGCCTCCATGTCAAATAAATACCCGTCCCTCCCCCAGCCTCCTAGCTGCATGAGGTCCAACCTCTGATACTGACACAGATCAACCACAAACCCTACTAGCACCAGACAGCCTGACCCTCACGTCCACTGTGGCTAATGCTGCAGAGTATACATTATCTAATTGCAAGGGTAAACAGCACATAAGACAACTGCAAGGAAAAGTGATGAGTGAGAAGTAAAGGGGTAAACTGGGTGTAAAACATCACCACCTAGCAGTGGAAGGTGAAATGACTGCTAAATGGCGTTCCTGGTGTGCTAGTGCTACTGTCTTGTTAAGGAGCTAGAACTAAAGATAGGTTTCAGAGTAGCAGCCGTGTTAGTCTGTATCCGCAAAAAGAACAGGAGTACTTGTGGCACCTTAGAGACTAACAAATTTATTAGAGCATAAAAAAAGCTTATGCTCTAATAAATTTTTAGTCTCTAAGGTGCCACAAGAACTAAAGATGGCATCTGGAGGAGACCCCACTGCCACAGATGAGCGGGTGGGTGATGTGCAGGTTCACATGTTGAGTATATGCAGCATAGCAGGGTTGAGTGAGCGAAATTGTAGACTGATCAAGTCACCTCTTAACAAGAACCTATGTGGGAAAGAGATTTCTGACAGGAGACAGCTTTTCAGTCGATAAGAAAAAGGCGTAACAAGGGCCAATGCTGGGAAGCTGAAACTAGACAAGTTCAGACTAGAAGTACAGGTTTTGTTTTGTTTTTTTTAAAAAAACCCACTGTAGGTAAATGACTGGAACTGACTTGCCTAGAGAGGCAGTGGATAATCCATGACTTTGAATGTTTAAAATCAAGACCTGGATATTTTTCTACATGGATTAGGCACAGGAATCCCTGAGTGAAATTCTTTGGCTTGTATTACACAGGGGGTCTGGCTAGATGGTCATAATGGGCCCTTCTGGCCTTAACATCTGCAAGTCCATGAACTACCAATCCTGGAGATGTATGGTGTATAGACAGTGCTTAATTTGTGCTGGGACGTGCCAGGGCTGAGTCCCGGCACCCCTGAGTTTCAAATACGCTCCTTTCTTGTATTTACACCCAGATATTACGGGGAAAAAGAAACATAGAAAGCTCCTCACCTGTGTAAGCCAGGGTGGTCACAGTCACTGCCAGGACAGGCGCTCTGTACAGCAGGTGGCTATGCTGAAACTTGAGAGCCACCAAATGGAAAAAGAAAGAACAGACACCTTCCACAAAGATGCCATGGTACAAAGAGGTATGGATAGAGGAACTGCAATCCAGGGCCATTAGATTCTGGATGAGGTGGAAGTCAGTCAGCTCCCAGGACCAGTAGTGCGTGGTGAGAATCCCAGCTGCCTCCATTCCCACAAACTGGACCAGAAGTTTGAAAGCAGTAGCCACAAAGGAGGAATCCATGACCAGGAATTCTTGGAGAGACACAGTGGGGTTAGCAGAAGCTCCATCAAAAGACACACCATGAATCAAGTAGATAATGAAGAGGAGGGTCAGAATCACATCTGGGCCAAAGCCACCACCCCAGGGACCAATCTCCATCAGCATCCTCAGCTCAAGGGAGCAAGCACACAACTGTAATGAGCTGACCAGTTCTCTGACAAGACCACGGTACACTCCAAGAGGCAGAACTCTCTTGGAAACCTGCCTGATCACCTCACAAATAGCCACAACTGAGAGAAAGAAGGCAATGGAAACATTCAAACCCGCCATAACAAGCCCAACAGAGATGGCAAAGCAAGAGTGTCACCATCCAAAGAACAGATCAACCTTTTCTTCCTCCTCTTTATAAAGGCACTTTTAAGCCAACGTGGCACAGCCTGACAGGTCCCCAGTCAGCAGGGTCAAGGGAGTCTTCGGGAAAATCCACATGTGCAGCTATGCAAAGCCATTAAGGAGCTAACAGTGAGATTCTCCTACCTACAGTATCAGCTGCGGCCAGTGTTAATGTATGCTGCTCTCCGCTAGCCCCAGCAGCCTGCCTGTCCCTGTGCCTTCACCCCTAATCAGAAGGGAGACAACCACAGACTGCATGTGACTCACATATCCTCTCCCCTCCTTCTGCTTTAACCATCAGCACTTGCTACAATTAGAGCACCAACAACCTGCAGCCTGGGGTTTGTTCAGAATTTGTCTCCAAAGTTACACTGCTGGTTTGTTTTACAACTATATCTAGCAAGTGGGTCCAGCAGCTCTCACCCCATGGCAGCAAGTCTGGGAAAGCCCCGCTCCTGCCCCAGGTTTATTATTTGTGAGGCTGTGTTATGAGCCTTTGACCCGCTGGGCCAGAACAAACCAGTCATTCACTGCATAGATTTGCTAACTGGAGCAGAAAACAGCACTTATGTCATCTTTGCTTCAAGTGGGCAGAATATTTGGGTCGCTTCTCTCTTTATTTCAGTGTTCAGGATTGGTTATTGTACAGCACCTTAATGGTTTTTAGGTAGTTAGGAGCAGGGAGCTCGCAGTGAAAGCCCTGCAAAGTCAACGAGGTGGTGATGAAATGGAAAGGCAGCACAGAGCTTAGGTATGTGTAGGGAAGAAGAACAGATAGCAATCTCTTTGCATACCCACGCCAGGGAAGGCTAACTACATGGGATCCTGAAGAGTCTCATCACTGCATTCATCCTTTTAGGTCTCCTCGCTCCTCAGGGTCTAAAATACAACTGTATCCTCCAGGCTTGAGAAGTGAGGGGCTCTCCTCTGAGAACCAATGTTCCATGTTGATCAGGTGGCAGGACACACTACAGAGTCCAGGTTTATCTTTCATTGCCCCAAGGCCGGTGCAAGGATATTTTGTGCCCTAGGCGAAACTTCCACCTTCTACCCCCCCACTTCCTCTCCTCCCCTCCCACCGAAGCATCGCTTATTATAAACTTTCAAAAATGAATACTGCATAATATGGCATTGTTCATTAGAATTAATACACGTTTGGCTTGAAAATTTATTAATTTAATTATTTAGTCTACATATTTAATAAAAATAAATGAATAACCTGACAGCGTTGACATTGTTATTGTTTTCACTTTGCACAACATAGCATTGATCTTAAAATAAATCACATACATTATACACAATACACTGTCACTTCCGTCCTTCATTCTTTCATATCAAAATCTACTACATTTTATTCTACCTTTGTAATATCCAATTGTTATTGTTAATAAAATTTATAAAATTAGAGCCTTGCATGGTGTCAAGTATCAGGGGGTAGCTGTGTTAGTCTGTATCCACAAAAACAACAAGGAGTCCGCCAGCAACTACACACCACACCACAGAAACCAATCCCTGTAGCAAACCTCGCTGCCTACTCTGTCGCCAGATCTACTCTGGCGACATCATCAGAGGACCCAACACATCAGCCACACCATCAAGGGTTCATTCACCTGCACGTCTGCTAATATGATATATGCCATCATGTGCCAGCAATGCCCCTCTGCCAGGTACATTGGCCAAACCAGACAGTCCCAACGTAAAAGAATAAATGGACACAAATCGGACATCAGGAATGGTAACATACAAAAGCCAATAGGTGAACACTTCAATCTCCCTGGTCATTCTATTACAGATTTAAAAGTCACTATTCTTGAACAAAAAACCTTCAGAAACAGACTTCAAAGAGAAACAGCAGAACTAAAATTCATTTGCAAATTTAACACCATTAATTTGGGCTTGAATAGGGACTGGGAGTGGCTGGCTCATTACAGAAGCAGCTTTGCCTCTCCTGGAATTGATACCTCCTCATCAATTATTGGGAGTGGACTACATCCACCCTGATTGAATTGGCCCTGTCAACACTGGTTCTTCACTTGTGAGGTACTCCCTTCTCTTCATGTGTCATTATATAATGACTGCATCTGGAACTTTCACTCCATGCATCTGAAGAAGTGGGTTTTTTCACCCAGGAAGGCTTATGCCTAAATAAATCTGTTAGTCTTTAACAGACTAACCGGACTCCTTGTTGTTTTTATAAAATTAGAATGGTGGATACTCTGTTATACTGAGGGATCTGGTTTGGTGGGGAAGGGAAGCAGACTGGGTTCGGTCACTGGGAGGATTGGGTTTGGCTGGGGAGGGGAAGGGTAGCAGACCGGGTTGAGTCAGTGGAGTATCGGGTTAGGTGGGGAAGGGAAGCAGACTGGGTTCGGTCAGTGGGGGTTCGGGTTTGGCTGGGGAGTGCAAGGGGAGCAGACCAGGTTTGGGTGTGGAGGGGGGAGAACGCGCAATCTGGGTTTGGCCGGGGGGCGGCGGGCGGGGTAGGATTCAAAGAGCCGCAAGGTGAAATGGGCGCTCTCCTCTCCAGTCCCTGGCATGCAGCAGCGGGCCAAGTGCAATTGCAACAGGGCAATGGGAGAGTGTCGCCTGCTTTGCCTTCACGAGTCCATCCTGCGCCCGGGCTGGGGAGTTGAATGCTGGTCTCTCACTCTGGGAGAGGGGCGTGTGGCAGGCAGGACTGCGCGGCCCTCACACCAAAGCAGCGTCGGGAGGGTAGAAAGCTGGGGCGCAGGGAGGTGGGTTAAAGAGGCTTAGCTGCCCCTCCACGCGAGAGAGCCCGCAGAGCTGCCAGCCGCGGCGTCCCTCTCTTCTCTCCCCAGGGAGCATGAGAGCCTCTGCCTGCAAATCCTGCAGACTGCTCTCCGAGCAGGGCCGGCTCCAGGCACCAGCTTGGCAAGCTGGTGCTTGGGGTGGCCACTCCGGACAGGGGCGGCAGGTCCAGCTATTCGGCGGCAATACGGCGGACGGTCCCTCACTGCCGCTAGGAGCGAAGGATCTTCCGCCGAAGTGCCGCCGCAGATCGCGATCCCTGTCTGCCTGCCTGCCGCAGCCAAAACCCTGGAGCCGGCCCTGTCTCCGAGCATGCCATGCAAGCCGGCCCGGCTGCACCTCACTGACAGCACAGCTCAGCCCCAGACGGGGTCTTGCGGCAGGAAGTGTAAGCTGCTCCACTCTCCTTCTGGCTGCTGTGCAATCTACAGGACAAAGGAGCTATTACTGTGTAAATGTACCTATCAACACAGCAATCAAATCAAAGGACTTCGCTGACTTTCCAAAGGCAGGAGAGCAATTCATTGGGAGCATAGTTCTTACTATATACGTCTTCCCTCCCTACAGTCTGCGATCTGCAGCCAGCATCTTGATTGGCAGCGGCTCCCCCAAATCATGGCACCCTAGTCGGCTGCCTAGTGGTTGCACTGGCCCTGCATTGCCCTCTTGCCCCAGGAAGACAAAGCATGCCCCTAGGAAGCAGCATAGTGTCATTATTGCATGCTGGATACAACAGAAAGAGGATGGAGGGAACTGAGACACCAACGAGGAAAAGGAAAACCAGAGCAAAGGTGATTTAGGCCTGGTCTACAGTAGGCTTTTATATCGGTATAGCTACCTCTCTCAGGGGCATGAAAAATCCACATCTGAGAGATGTAACAACACTGATCTAACCCCTGATGCAGACAGCACTTGGTTGATAGAAGAATTCTTCCATCGAATCCACCTCGGGAAGGTGGATTTACCTACACTGATGGCATAAGTAGTGTCTACATTGAAGTGCTACAGCGGCTGTAGCATTTTGCCCCCAGTGATCCATGGGTAGGAGACAAGCTCAAAGACAAGTTTCCAGCTCACTCTCCCAAATGTGGTAGATTTATTTGAACCTTGTCTCTAGAGGAGCAGTGGAATGGACATGCTTAGACATACACCTCACCACCATGTCCCGAATCCCCTGAAACCGAACTCCACCCAAAGTGGTCTTTAATCCAGAACTGTTTTAAATCCTGGAATACCTGAGGAAAACAATAGCAACTATCAGTGACATGATGCACCTTGCTTGTTGCATATACGTAGGGTGACCAGATGTCCTGATTTTATAGGGACAGTCCCAATTTTGGGGTCTTTTTCTTATATAGGCTCCTATTACCCCCAACCCCCATCCTGATTTTTCACATTTGCTGTCTGGTCACCCTACATATACGATTCCAGAGGTCTATAGCAGTGGCTCGTCTCTGTAAGTAGGGTTGTTCCTAGTGGGCCACAGAAAGACATATTAAGAACTAAACTGTGGCAGGGTTGAACGAAAGGAGAGATGTGATTTGAACTCTTATGATGTAGACAATCAAATGAACAAACTGAATCACAGGCCTATGAAAATCAAGTTTGCTATTAGTACTAAATATTTACATGATGGTTATTAGGGAGGAAGAATGGCCCAGTGTGTTGGGTATTAAGTTTGGGACTCCAGAGCCCCAGGTTGAATTCCCTGCTCTCCTACAGAATTTTGCATAACTTGGGGCAAGTCACTTCGGTGTTTCTCACTACCTCATCTGTACAGTGGGGATAAAAGTACTTCCCAACCTCACAGAGTGTTGAGAGGATAAATACACTGAGTGCTCAGAGACTATGCTCCTGGGCGCCATACAAGTACCACAGAGAGAAATGGCACCTAAATGATCCAATTGGGATCATTACCATTGTGCTGGGCACGATACAGACACAGAAAAGAGAATCCCCTTAACCAGACACTATCACCTTCTTCGCAAAGGTAAGTCTCTCACATTGTGTAATCAACATGTTAATATCCACAAATGAACAAAGCTCCCAACAAAGCTGTATTAATTCAGTTTTATTTTCCCTTTAGTACAATTTATACAAAAAAATCCCCAGAAGACAGGTATTGAATTAACCTTGAGCTGAGCTTTAGGCACTTTACAGTTCAAAATGACTTCTTTGTTACTGTGTCAACTTGCAGAACACACCAGGACATGAAGACCGAGTACGTACATATTAAACCAAATCACAGAACTCCTTGATCCCTCCTCCCACTTAATTGTTATTGTGGTATAAAGGAAACAAGGATTCTTTTCAGTGACGGCACAGCAGTTAATTGTGAAGATAACACAACCACCCTGGGTTTCTTCCCCACACTTGTGTTTGCAGAAAGAACACTTATGTCCCTCTAGTTTCACCTTTGACTGCTGCCGAATAAGCACGTGTTGTTCCAGCCATTCCCCCTCATGTCTGTTAATACCCAGACACCCCATCATGGCAGCAGCACAGTGCTCGTTTTAGAAATTCTTATATTCAAAGTATGGGACAGTGCAATCTCCCTATCATGGGCTGGGTCCCTGAAAGGGCAGAAAGCCAGCCTGGGGAGTTCTAAGGAAGGACTCCCCACAAAGAAAAGCCTCTTATACTGGGTTCTCTGCATAAGCTTTTCAAGCTCCATCTAAACCCAGCTGATCTGTCAAGAGGCCCTGGGAGGAGGTGCAAAAGCACCGGGAAGTATAGGGGGGCAGCTCCAGTTGGAACACACCACACATCAAATCCCGTAGTTCTTATTCAGGGAAAACTCCCTTTGGGAGTCAACAGGAGCTCCCCATGAGTAAGGATTGGAGAAGATCTGGGCTTACCACCATAAAGGGCAGGTCACAGTGTCTGAATAGAGAAAGTTGAAAAGACTGTTTGTACAGATAAGTAGTAACTTATTCCTTGGCTCAGAGAAGGGGATTCTGGTGGTAGCACTCTACTAGTTAGGCCAATCCAGAGCAGACAAAATTCCTGAGATCAGAATAATTCACTTCCTCTAAACAGATGTTGCCCGCAACCACCATTCAGGACAAAACCACACTCCTTATAAAGACTCAGCAGCTAGTGACCCCCCAACTCTGCCATCACCAATTAACTCGAATGCTTTGCTACAGAACGACCACTTCCTTGGGAGCAGGAAAAGAGAGTGGCGAGCCAGCGTGCCCACAAGATTTTTGTCCACATCTGAATCTGTCACGTGTCCTGAAGGACAACCTGTCTGAATCTTGGTTCCAAGACCACAGGGTGGGTTTAATA